TTCACAAAAGCCAAAAAATGGAAATAATCCAAATGTCCACCAATGGATGAATGGATAAAAAAGAGTTGTACACAATGGGCTATTATTCAGCAATTAAAAGGAATTAAGTACTGATATATACCATAACATGGATGAACTTTGAAAACACTATACTAGATGAAAAAAGCAATCACAAAAGACCACATGTTATATGATTCTATTTGTATGAAATGTTCAGAGTAGGCAAAATCTACAGAGACAGAAAATAGATTTAATGGTTGTATAGCACTAAGGGAGAGGGTTGACGGAAAATGGGAGGAGGTAACTCTTAATGACTACAGGATTTCTGTTTGAGGCGATGAAAATGTTCTAAAATGGATTGTACAGCTTCATGAATAACCTAAAAACCATTAAACTGTACACTTTAAATAGGTACCTTATATGGTATGTGAATTACTTCTCAATAAAGCTGTTTTTTAACAGTGAGAGTTGAAAGAGAATGAAATAGCGTTATAGAAATAAAAAATACATTAAAATTTAAAACTCAATGGACAGATTAATTATATAGGGATTTGACACAGTCAAGGAAAGAATGAGTGATTCAGAGGATAATTCTGAAGAAATTATCCAGAATGCAGCACAGAAAGATGTAAAAAAATGTAAAAGAGAAATATGATTTCTATGTCTAGATAAACGATGAGTCGGTAGTGAGAGCCCTTTCAAATCTCCAGTTCTGATTTTGTTACAAGCCTAAGTGTTCTTTGACTCAAGAGACAACAACTAATAATAAAATGTTGCTGAATAACATGTCCGTTCTAGAAAATAACAAAATAACATTTCCACAGTACTTGTTAGTAATTCATAAAGGACAGAGAAGATGGATTAAGATTTGAACTTTCTTCAACAAAGTTGAACCACGTTGAAAAAAACTGAACGAAGTTGAAAAGCAGAAGTGGTTCAAATACCACTGAAATGACAAAATTGGTTTTCATGTGTGACTTACGGAACCCGTTGAATGCTTCATGGTCATATAGCATTTAAAGTATATTAATACGTTCTGCATTTAATTCTTATTCATAGGAGAACTTATACCAGATGTTAATAAGCCACTATACTTTATGGACATTATTTAGTGTTTTTATAAATAGGTGAGTATTTATCCTTTTTTGAGCACTAACATTCTCAGGGTATTCATATAATGATGACTGGATGTCTACTTCGCAATGCACAGCACATTGTAGAAAGTTCAGGACTTTTTCTCTAAATCTGTTTATGCCTACGTTTTGTTACCTTTCGGGATTTGCTGAATTGAAACTAATATCTGTATATTCTTGTACGACCCTCTGTTCTGCGGTCTATTTTATTGTTTTTTGAAAGCTGGAAAAGAAAACCCCTGATGTAGCTGCTTTTTGTGAAATGAAGAGCGTCTTGACTACCTCTTAACTGTGTCTTCCTAGCAGTTCTGGAGCACCTACTATGTGCCAGGCACAAGGCACCTGCTGTGCCCCAGACAGGAGTCATGCCTGCCCTGGTGACATTTGCATTCTGATGGGAGAAAGAGGCAGAAAGAATCTATCAATAAAGAAATGAAAAAGGAAAAAGATTAGTGTTATTAGTTTCCCATTGCTACAGAAACAAATTGCTACACATTGAGTGGCTTCAAACACTACCCATTTATTATTTTACAGTTCTGGGGCAGAAGTCTGAAATGAGTCTCGTGGGGCTGAAATCAAGGTGCCTGCAGGGGTAGTTCCTTCTGGAAGCTCTGAGGAGAGGCTCTGTGCACTTGCCTTTCCAGCTCTACTGGCCTCCTGTACTCCTCGACCTCTTCCCTCCACCTTCAAAGTGGATCACTGCAGGCTCTGTCCCTGTCATCGCATCTCCTCTGACTTTTCCTGTGTCGCCCTTATCCGGCCCTTTGTGATTACAACCAGTCCACCGGGACATTCCAAGACAATCCCTTCTTCTCAAAATCTCTGATCCCATTTGCAGACTCTCTCTGCCATATAAGTTAACACTCACAGTTCCAACACATAGACTTGGACATCCTTGCGGAGCCATTTTCCAGCCTTACCATAGTGAACGATAAGCACTACTAGAATGAAAATTGCATGCCGTGATAGAGAGGACCTAAAATAGCATCTTCAGGGCGAGCGGTGAGGGAAGGGCCTCTCTGAGGCTGTGTCTAGGCTGAAATCCAATCATGGAAAAATGCTGCGGGGGGGGGGGGTGGTGAGGGGCGCACATTCTAGGCTGAGGGAACAGCTTGTGAGAAACTCTATAGCAGCAGTGAACTTGGTGTGCTGGAGAAGTTAGGGCAGCTTGGACTGGAAGAGAGTTCCAGAATGGCTAATGAGTCTTCAACCCGCATTTTTTTTTTTTTTCCCCAGAATGAGAACCCTGAAAGCCCCATCCTCCCTCTTGGTATTTTATATGGGACTCTACCCCCAAACTACTATCATATCAATAGAGACCTCTTTTGTCACAAAACATAGGGAATTGTCCTGGACATCCCAGAGCACCTGTCCAGCCTGAGAGCCCCTCGTCAGGGCTAGTAGTTGATTGTGCCTCAACTATAGCTTCCATTATGGTCCTCCTTGAATTCTAGTTCTTGCACATGTATTGGGTGTGGGTCTTGCACTCCTACATCGCTCCCCGCGCCGCCCCCCCGCCCCAGCAGAGTGTCCAGCACAGAGCAGATAATTAATACTCACTTTTTCTTTTTGTTCAACAAACACTTACTGGGCATCTACACTGCCAATTACTGAGCCGGGAGCTGAACAGCATTACTCTTAATATCCGTATGGCCCAAGAACTGACCATTCTCAAAGACTTCTAAAGGAGCAGGTTGATCCTAACCAGGAAATTGTTTCCATAAAGGAGAGTTAAATGTGACTGAATATCTGCTTGTCAATTTGCATACAGTTATGAACCTGGTCCTTTGATTAAATTTCAACCTTGGCAATCAAATCAAGCCACCTGAGATACTTGCTAGTTTTATGATTGCTTGTAAATCTGTCTTTTCTGAATCTAAACTGAGCTGTGGGGTGTTAAAGGTTAAGTCTCTGCTCTTTCCAGCTCCTCGGTTGACTGGCTTGCAGCAGAGTGAAATGACCCCATTCATCAGAAGGCACAGAGGTGTGTGCTAAGACAAAAGTGACCTGCAAAGTTAAGGCAGAGATTTTTTTTTTTTTAGGTTAGTTTTTTTTTTTTAATTTAATTTTATTTATGTGACACAGAGAGAGAGCACAAGCAGGTAGAGCAGCAGGCACAAGGGAGAGGGAGAAGCAGGCTTCCTGCTGAGTCAGAAGCCTGACATGGGGCTCAAGCCCTGGACTCTGGGATCATGACCTGAGCCGAAGGCAGTTACTTAACCAACTGAGCCACCCAGGTGCTGTAAGGCTGGGATTTCAAGCTTAAATGAAAACCAGCAGGCATACTTGAAGAGCCTAATACGTATTGTTGGTAATTATAAGGTCATGAGTTCATCTCAATATGGCAAATGAAACCCAGTTGGCAAATCTTAGGAGTCAAATGTTAGAAATCTGTTAAGGAAGGAGGCAGCTGCTTCCACTGCCTGAAACCTAGGGCTGATATGTTATTTCCCTCCAACATCCAAGAACATATAATCTTTTGGTTCCCAAGCATGATGTTTTATAATTTGTAAAACCGGATACCATTGTCCCAGAGTCCAGGTGGTTATTTCTAAGTCTAGCCGTATCTCATTCTCTTGGTGTCCCCACCTGGGCCACACAGTACCTTCTTTGTGTACATTTCCTATTGAACTTTTATCACAAAAGCAGTTTAGAAGCTTTATATCCTAACAGCTCATAAAAGATGCAATCCACCCAAATGGAAGTTTTAAAAAATCAGAATAAGACTTCCTTATTGGGAGGATGTCTCGGGTAGTAAGCCGTCGTTCCTGTTTCGAAAAAGCGGCTCTGGATCCTCGGGATCTGGGCTGCGGCTGGGGTGGAGACAAAGCAGAGTATTAGGACCCAGGCACCTGCTTACACTGAGTGCTGAAAGGAAGAGTTCCCTCCACTACACCTCAGCCCACCATGGTCGGTCGGTCTTCCTTTCTTTCTTTCTTTCTTTCTTTCTTTCTTTCTTTCTTTCTTTCTTTCTTCCTTCCTTTCTTTCTTTCTTTCTTTCTCTTTCTCTCTTTCTCTCTTTCTTTCTTTCTTTCAAGATTTTATTTATTTGACATAGATCACAAGTAGGCAAAAAGGCAAGCAGAGAGAGAGGAAGAAGCAGGCTCCCCGCTGAGCAGAGAGCCCGATGCGGGGGCTCCATCCCAGGACCCTGAGATCATGACCTGAGCGGAAGGCAGAGGCTTTAACCCACTGAGCCACCCAAGCGCCCCAGTTTTTTAAATCTAGTAACGATCTCATGAATAGCACAGCTATATTACATCGAGTTAAAGGTCGGCCTTAAAGTTTAAAAACGTACAGCCGTTTCTGCCACCACAAATTTTATTAAGTTTCTGATACACTGGGAGCTTCCAAAACTACAGGTGGCAGCCCCTTTTCTCCATTTATGACAGCCCGTGCCCTGGGATCCCACAGATCTTTGAGGTCAACGAGAAGGGTAAGCAGGACGGGGGTCAAACAGGGAAATCAATACAACTGGGGGACGTGGGTCCCTCTTCCCGCAGTCCCCAAAAGGCAGCACGTTGGGGCGCCCGCGGAAAGTGTGGGTCTCGGGGACTGGCCTCCCCACCCCCCCGTGCGGGCTCTGTCCAAGCAGCGCAGCATCACGACATACTAACGCCTCCCAGGATCCGGGTCGCAGCGTCACCGGGAGCTTTCCGACAGCAGCAAGAGGGCAAGAGGTGGCCGGCGGGCCTGGGGCGCCTCAGGTGAGGACGCTCCGCCTACTGGGCCCAGCTGGCCTCCTCCCGTCTGCCCCGGCCCCTCGGCCCCGCCCACTCGGCCGCCTCAGGTGGGGCCGCCCCGCCCGCCCGGCCCCGCCCACCCCGCGCGCCTCAGGTGGGGCGGCCCCGCCCGCGCAGCCAGCCCGGCTCACCCAGCCGCGTCAGGCCGCGTCTCCTCAATTCCTCGCGGGCGGTGGCTGCGGCCGCGGCGGCGCTACAAGTTTTGACATTTTGGCGGCGGAGGAGCGCGCCGGCATTTCCGAGCCGACGGCTGTGGCAGCGGCCGACCCTCGGGGGCCCTTCAGCTGCGCCCCGGCGCTCCCGCAGCCCAAAGTCAGGGCGGCCACGAGGCCCGGCCGCGTCTTCCCGCGTTCGTCGGCCGGGCGGCTGCAGCCATGTCACGGGGGCCGGAGGAAGTGAACCGGCTCACGGAGAGCACCTACCGGGTGAGCGAGCCCAGCACGGCCCGGGACCACGGGGGTTTGAGGGCGGGAGGCCCGAGGGCGGGGCGCGGCCGGGGGTGCGGGGCGGCCCGAGACCCGTGGAGGACGGGGGTCGGAGTTCGGGGCCGCGGGAAGCGGGGAGGCCGCGGCGCGGCTCGCGGTCGTCGCCGGGGGAGGGTCGACGCGAGGAGCTGACTTTACGCGGGAACACCCTCCCCCCGCCCCTCCCGGCGCTCGGGCCGCCCTGCTGCCTGCACGTTTCACGGCCCAACGTGTCCGGAGGGCGTAGAAGGGCGGGAGGGGGTGGTCTGTCCTCTCCCTGGGGGCCGCGTCCTCCGGCCGGCTGCCTTCGGAGTCCGAGACGGGCCGGCGTGGCCGCGGCGCCCGAGGAGCAGCTACTCGTTCCTGCGGGCGGGGACCGGGCGAGCGCCGTGCGGGGCTCGGGCCGCGCCAGGGGCGCCTCTGGGGGGCGTCGCGGGCTCCCGCCCTCCCGGACCCTGGCGCGCGCGGCTCCCCGAGCCCCTCGGCCTGGACACACCGACTGCTCCGCGAGGTTGCGGTAAAATGGACCTAAATTACAGGAGAGCATTGACGGTCACTCTCTTAAGCCGGTTCTCCAGTAACAGACACGGATTTAGGATTAGTGGCCAGTTTAGGAAGTTTAAGTACTCGTAAATGAATTCCAGTTGAAATAAGATACGTGCTTAATCATCGGCTATTAATAGACGACAAAACAACTTTTGTTTTAATTCGGCTTGGGCTCATTGAACACAAGCTCTCCAAATTCATTTGTAGCCATTTTTAAGGCCAACAGTTTGGTCACCTTTATAGATTTTTTTTTTAGCCCTAAAATTGGGTTTCTAGATGCGCAAAGTCTGAGTGCATTCCTGAAATCAATAGGGTTTATTGACTGTTGTAGGATAAGAATAAAGAAGAGCATGAAAATATATTCATAATCATAAAAAAATTTGAACCTTTGGGTTCAAAACAATTGATTCCCTTCATCTGGATACACGCATAGGTAACGTGAATTATACTTTTTGGCTAGATACGGTGGACACAGTTGACACAGCATTTTTGGTCTCGGTAAGGAACTGTGTTGTCTTAATAGAGAGCAATTTTTCGAAATCCCGGAAATTGTTGATTGTTAAAGTTTTACATTTGTATTGAGCTTGTTAATATTTCCATAATCCTGAAGATAGTGTGGCAGGCAGTGTGAGGTGTTGACAGTGTGTAAATAAGACACTCTTAGATTTGGGGAGTTGGAGCTGCTCTGATGACTGTCAGTTAAGGAGAAACCGTATCCAAGCGAGGAATGCAGATCGTTGTCGATTTCAGGCAGTCTTAAGTATCTAGTGGGGCAGAAAAACATGTGAACACCTAAGTTGCCTCCAAGGAGACAGGCACATATATCTTTCCAATCTGGGATGATAGATCAGTTTGAGACAAGCAATCAGATGCTCTGAAGTAACTCCTTTTCTCCCACTTCTTCCTTTTACTTTAGCAATGACTCAGTGGAGGGGCTGTCCTCCAGTGAATTACAGTGCCACAAATGCCAACTCCAAAGAACTAGGGCAGGATGCAAAAGTGTAGATTTCAGTTTGGGTTTTACATATTTATAGACATTAGGCAGTGTAAATCATTTTCGTACTTTGCAAAGTTAAAGTGAACGTCAGAAACTAGTTACTGACTACTTTCCATTCCCAGGTGTCTTAAAACATATTAAAAGCTAGCAAGTGTCGATTGTGACTTTAATCACCAATTTTTCTTTAATGTTTTGGGATTGTGTTTTTTATGTTGAATGGTGGTAAAAGAATTTACAGCTCCAGACAGCAAGTTTATGTATAGTCTATGAAGTGAATACTGCTGGCTCATGCTTTGGCTATGATGGAAATGTGTAGTGAAATTTTACATTCACAAGACTGATTGAAAGCCTGAAAACCTTCACCACCTCCTCATTGAATTCTTCCCTACCCCACCCTCTGACAACCAAAGCTGAAAACAATTTAAGCTTAATATCATAAAAAAAATTCACAATGTGATGACTCTAGTTATTTTATTTAATTTGTTTATTCATTTTATTTTGAGAGAGGGAGGGAGCAGGGCAGAGAGGGAGAGAGAAAATCTTAAGCAGGCTTCACACCCAGCAAGGAGCCTGGATGAGGGGCTCCATCTCATGACCCTGAGATCTTGACCTAAGCATAAATCAAGAGTTGGACGCTTAAATGACTGAATCTAGTGTTTTGGGCTTTTTTTTTTTAAGAGATTTCCTTTATGTTACCTAATAACCTACAGTGTTTTACTAATGGAAACATAACCAGATGCATTGACAATAGCACCTGGAACTGAGATTTAATGACTTGCTAGTATGGATTTTAGATTTTTTTTTTTTTTTAATACTCAAATTTCTCCAACTTTGAAAAAAAGAATAAATTCTCCGGAAGAAGTGAGGGATTATAAACTAGTGTAATTCTCTGTAATGCGGTATCAAATATCTTTCAGTATTTATTTACACATTTGCTCAGTTCTCTAAAATATGTCCTTAGACAAATGATTAGTGGAAACCCATGCTGAATCCCAGGAGGATGTGTGTTTTATGGCTTCACAAACAAATGGTATGATAATAACCCCCCAAAAAGTCAAGTAATGTTACCATTGCTAATTAGAGGTCAGCCAAAGATCCCTCCCCGTCTCTACATAGTATGCCCATAATTTGCCCTTAGTGCTTGCTTGTGATTTTGCATGGTTTTCTGGTGAGTACATGCTTTAGTGGTACAAGGAAGAGGTAAAGTTTAAAAAAAAAAAAAACAAATAAAACCTTAAGTAAGAGTAACCACACCTTCCTAGAAGTTAGAACAGATAAAGTCTTAGGAAGTTGAGGAGGAATGGGTATGATGTCATCCATCCTGTACCTACCTTACCCTTGCTAAATAAGCAGCAATGAAGGGGGAGAAAGTCACTTAAAAAGGAGGGGGAAAGGGGCAGGTAAGTCTTTGTTTAAATGTCACCTGCTCAAACAACTCTTTAAAATTGTTTAAAATTGCCATCCATCTCCCAATCCCACTGACTTTACCTTTCTCACATAGTGCTTAGTATCTTAAGATATTCTGTATGACAGACTTGTTTATCTCTCATCCCTCTCCAACTAGAATTCGAGTGCCCAGAGGAGAGGAGCTTGGCTTTGTTACATTCTGAATGGTTACTGACAGGTAGTAGGTGTGTGAGTTTGTTGATTATATGAACATTTATTTATTTAGTGAATACCTATGCTAGGCTCCCTCACATCCCTTGACACTTTCCATAGAGCATTTGTTTCAATCTAAGTATACATCATCCCTCGAGGTGGATGTGGATTTTGTTTACTGTTGAGAAACGCACACCCAAAAGTCTAGAGGGAGCAGTGTCCATGTGCCATTTTCCCCGCCAGCCTCCATTCATCTCCTTTTTGTATAGTAGTTTAGTTTCTAGCAGTCAAAAAATGCACAAATCAAATGCCTTTTCGTATTTGGTGATCTAAGATATCACCAGAATTTTGTTCATCATTTTTGTTTTGAACAAAAATTTGTTTAATAAAAAAATGAGGTACTTTTGTTTTATTGAGTCAAACAAGCCTCTCGTCATGTATACTAGGTTTTGTTTGTTTTTATTTTCTGAACTTGGGTTTAATTGGGGATATGGAAGTAAAAGTCCCTGCCTAGATGGCTTCCAGTGCAGATTATGGTATACAGGTCTAGCTTGTGAAGGTTTCATTCGCCTTGTGTGTTTATTGCTGTAGCTGTATATACTATTTGATATCTTCATCTGTTCCCATATAATACTACTTTCTTCAGGTTTGCTGAAGATAAAATGGGATTTGCAGAAGCCCAGACAGCTTGCTCTTGGCTCCATGATGACTATAAAAAGGGACAGTAAGAATCAGGTGCCAGGTAGCAACAGAAAGAATTGCCAGGTATCAAATATTAAACTGAACAGCCCAGTATTGTAGCCTTTTGTCTGGTAAAATGAAAATACAAAGACAAACAATGGTTGTCTTTTTCTGTCATAACGTTTTTTTCCTGATTGGAAAGAGATTTTAGAACTGTGATATCATTATTGCTATGTAAGACAGAGCAGTGTCCTTTATTATGAAGCTTGGGAAGCTGGGACCACTTGGCCAGGTGACACCATCCTCAAGTTTGAGGTTGCTTTTGAGTTGACATTTGTGATATTATTCCAGTATTGGGCATTAATTCTCTCTTGGCACTTCTGTTTTAACGAGCCACAGGCAGACCTGCAGGGGAAACCTAACGTGCATGGAATTTCAACAAATTGGACTTTTATTTTTATCAGCATTCCACAGTTATTTATTCTGCTCTTCAAAAGTAAAAATTATTATAAAAGCTACACAAACATTAATTGAACTTACCTGTAGACATTTGCAAATGTATTTTTTTTTTTAAGATTTTATTTATTTATTTGACAGACAGAGATCACAAGTAGGCAGAGAGGCAGGCAGAGAGAGAGAGAGAGGAGGAAGCAGGCTCCCTGCAGAGCAGAGAGCCCGATGTGGGGCTCGATCCCAGGACCCTGGGATCATGACCTGAGCCGAAGGCAGAGGCTTTAACCCAGTGAGCCACCCAGGCGCCCCTGCAAATGTATTTCTTAAACTTTTTTTTTTTAAAAGATTTTATTTATTTATTTGACAAAGAGAGATCACAAGTAGACAGAGAGGCAGGCAGAGAGAGAGAGGGAAGCAGGTTCCCTGCTGAGCAGAGAGCCCGATGAGGGACTCAATCCCAGGACCCTGAGATCATGACCTGAGCCAAAGGCAGCGGCTTAACCCACTGAGCCACCCAGGCACCCCTTAAACTTTTTATTGGACTATAATAAATATATCGAAAGGTGTGCTTTGGTGTATATAGCTCACAAAATCGTCAAAAAACTGAACATGTGTGTATAACGAACACACATATCAAGATGTAGACTATGACCAACCTCCCTGAAGTCCTTTTTGTGCCCACTTC